ATACACACACCACGCATACACACACACACACCACACACATCAAGCACAAACACACACACACACACGCACACACACACACACACTTTTGGGCGGTAGCGGCCTCGCGCGCGGCGATGAAGCAGAGACTGGAACACACGCACACACACACATACACACAAATTAATCATACACACACACACGTACACTCGCACACACACACACACATCACACAAACACTCAAACATTACAGATCGCATGTACGCACGCATACACACACACTCACACACGCACACACATACAGACAAACACACACACACACACGCACACACACACACGTACGTTTTCGGGCGATAACGGCCACGCGCGAGACAGTACGACACACACACACACACACACACACACACACACACACACACACACACACACACACGCACACGCACACGCACACGCACACGCACACGCACACGCACACACACACACACAGACACACACACACACACACACAACACACACACACGACAGGACGAGCAGCCCTGCCCCGCCGACGGCGGAGCCAGCAGCGGCGCCGCCACCGGCAGCGCCTGCTGCCGCCGCGCGGGCCCCGCGGGTGCGGGGCCAGGCGGCCCGCGGCCGTGCTGCGGCCGACGCCGCCGCCGCGGAGGAGGGCGGGGTGAGGGGCCCGTGGAGCTCGTCCTGGATCGAGGCCATGAGATTCTGGCTCGGCTCCTCCTCCTCCTCCGCCTCCTCCCTCCTCCTCCTCCTCCTCCTCCTCCTCCTCATCGCTCCTCCTCCTCCTCCTCCTCCTCCTCCTCCTCCTCCCTCCTCCTCCTCCTCCTCCTCCTCCTCCCTCCTCCCTCCCCCCTCCTCCTCTCCAGGAAGCAGGCTCGGAGCCTCGGATCGGCCAGCCCCGGCACGCGTCCCGGAGCCTTTGGCAGGTGCGCGCCGCCCGCCGCGCGCGAGCGTGCGCTCGTCGGAGGGATCGGTTCGTCCAGGGGCTCCGCCCGACGACGGGCAGGTCTTTGGGGAAAGACACCACCGAAACCAAGATTTAAGAAAACCAAAATCCAAAATCGAGATTTCGGTTTCTTTCCAAACCCCAACAAAAAGCATCGAAACCTCGAGTTCGGCTTCAGACACGGAAATCGAGATTTCGATGTTTCTTAAATCTTGGTTTCGAGCTCTTCCAGTCTTTGGGCTCGGGGCCATAGGCCGCCGCTCCTTCCCAGGGTGTCCCTGGCCTCCGAGGGGTTCGGAGGCGCCTTGATCGGTGATCTGAGGATCGCCTGCCGACGAGTTTCTGGTTTCGCCCAGGGGCTCCAGAGCGGCCCATGTGAGCCCCGCTGGTTCAGGCCGCGGTCCGTAGCTCATGGGTGCGGGACGCGCGCCCTTGAGTGCCCGACACACACACACACACACACACACACACACACACACACACACACACTCGCGCGCGCGCGCACGCACGCACGCACGCACGAGCACGCGAACGCGCACGCGCACGCGCACGCGCACGCGCACGCGCACACGCACACGCACACGCACACGCACACGCACACGCACACGCACACGCACACGCACACGCACACGCACACGCACACGCACACCCACACACACACACATACCTACACGACCGCCCTGCGGGCGATTAGGAAGTTTGGGGGGGTGATTGAGATCAAATGCCCACCCTGACTGACCTGCAGCCTGTCACCAATGATGACCGCAATGACGATAAGATCCCACTATCTAATTACCTACCCGTCGACCGACCGATCGGTGAATCTCACTGTCGATCTCACATCGACCTCACAAGCAAAATGAGAAAGCCCGCCGCAGGCGCAGACAAAAATGAATTGATGAATTGGATTGGGCCGATTGGATCGTATAAGATGGATTGGACAAGATAATCTTGGTTGGATTGGAAAAATGTATTGGATAAGATACGATGGATTGGATTGGCCCGCCGCAGGCGCAGAAACAATTGACTTGATATGTTGGGTTGGGTGGATTGGATTGGGTGGGATAAGATAAGATGGAACAAGATGGGTTGGATAAGATAAAATGGATTGGATCGGACAAGATGGATTGGATACGATAAGCTGGATTGGATAAGAAAGCCCGCCGCAGGCGCCGAAAAAAATTGAATTCTGAAATTAGCGACATCTATAGCGCCGGGACGCCCGGGACACCCGGGACACCCGTGACACCGCCCGGCCCAACTGGGACACCTCCCGGCCACCGGGACACCCAAGACACCGCCCGGCCCAACTGGGACACCTCCCGGCCACTGGCGGACGGGAAACGGACTTTCGCTCCTACTGACACCCGGGACACCCGGGACACCGCCCGGCCCAAGCGGCCACCGGCTGCTGGGCGACGGACTTTCGCTCCTACTTCGGCCTATGCTATAACTACAGGAGGAGCACGCGCAGCTTCGCCTCGCCCGCACGCGCGACACGAACACGAAACCGAAGCCCGTTTCCCGCGTTGGGGGGTCTCCGTTTCACTGCGATCTCACCCCCCAACCTCCGACACACACACAACAACAACAACAACAACAACACCAACAACAACAACCACAACAACAACAAAACCAACAACAACAACAACATCAACAACAACAACAGCAACAACAAGAAAAATTACTAGCACGTGGGGACACACCGTTCTCACCAGTGCCAGGGTTTTCATAGGAGGCGGGCAATACCCCCACTTTGTGGGGGGGCCGGTTCAAGCTCTACCAAATTTCCAAACGACTCTTCGCCACCACCCACACCCAGCTTCCCGCCCTATGACGTTCGGACACTTCACTTCGTGGCATGCGGACGACCGTGGCTACTATTCAGGGCCCCGCGGCCGACGACGACGGCGTGCGCGCGCGAAGAAAAAACGAATGTGTCCCGCATGGTATTATTTGACAGGGATGATGGCCCTGGCAGGTGCGCAACCGTTGTTGCAGAAGTTCGAAAAAGTTGCTCGCAAAAGCCCGTTTGACAGAAATGTTTAAAAAGTGTTGGGTTTCCTACGAATCCGCAAGAGCGCGCGGGATGAAATTTTGACATTTTTTTTTGAAAAACCATTGGTTTTTTGATGTTTTTATGTTAAAATCGCTACGAAAACTAAGGTTTTGGAAGGATTTCGTCTTGCGCGCGCGAATGTCCACTTTACCTTATTTTTTGCAAGGGATTCTTGAAGTTTGGTTATGTTAGAACAAGAAATGTCCACTTTAGCTTATTTTTTGCAAGGGAAAACCGATCGTAACAACACAACCGGATCCGGACCAACCCGTTTTGCCTGAGACTTCCTCACGAAAATGATGAAAATGAGGCTGCGGCCTAGGCGCGGCGGGGGGGTCGCGCACCAGGGGTCCCAACAATAATTATTCTTTAGAAGTAATAATCTTCAACAACAAAACACACACACAAACACTCGCACATCCGCGGCCCACGGCCCAGAAGCCGCGGGGCCCGTGCGGCGGGCGCGCGGCTCGGTGGGCGCGCCCCCGCGGCACTTGGCGAAGTGCTCGCGCGGGGCCACGGTACTCCCCGCGGGAGCCGTGCGAGGACCTGGGACCGAAGCCATGCAAGAGTTCGAACCACGTCGAGCAAGGCGACGCCGACCTCTAGGATGATGTCCCAAGCCACGTATCGCGACTTAGAATGATGCTGATGAGGATTGTGACGACGACAATGATGGCGAGGAGGACGATGGCGATGATGGCGATGATGATGGCAATGATGCTGCTGATGATGATGATGCTGATGCTGATGATAGTCATACTGTTGATGATGATCGTGATGATGATGATGATGATGATGATGATGATGATGATGATGATGATGATGGTGCTGATGATGGTGCTGATGATCATGCTGACAAGGATGATTATGATGACGATGACGACGACGATGATGGTGATGATGAGGTTGATGATGAGGATGATGATGATGGTGACGATGACGAGGATGATCAGCATCATCATCATGACAAGGATCATGATGATGCCAGAGTGCTGGCGACAACGAGCATCCGACGGGGCTAGATGATCATGCTGCTGCTGATGATGATGATGATGATGATGCTGATGATGCTGCTGATGATGATGCCCTTCTTCTCAGCGTCGGGGGCAAACACCGCTGCGAACTTCTTCTTGCTGGCCTCCTTGGTGGAGTAGGTGTTGTCTATTCTCGAATCGTCTGCCCCCTTGAGGTCCACCTTGGCGCTAGTCGCGATGCAACGCCCCTGGTTGACGCGCCAGAGGGGCACCCCGTTGCTCGCGCAGGGGCCAGTCACGAGCAACAGGCCTCTCTCGAGCTGCTTCATGAATGATGATGATGATGATGATGATGATGAAGATGAAGATGATGATGATGATGATGATGAAGATGAAGATGAAGATGATGATGATGATGATGATGATGATGATGATGATGATGAGGATGATGATGATGATGATGATGAGGGTGATGAAGCTGATGATGATGATCACGATGCTGATGTTAGTGATGATACTGATGATGAGGATGATGATGCTGATGCTGCTGCTGCTGATGATGATGATGATGCTGCTGCTGATGATGCTGATGATGATGATGATACTTGGGGTGTTGACAAAGATGGTGATGGTGATGGGGCTGATGTTGATCTTGATGCCCAAACAGAACACATCGATGAAACAAGAAGCGGTAGCGGTGGGCGACCCTGTGGTATGGAAGGGCGGCAGAGACCGCCCCGCACGTAGGGGAACGAAAGTGTATCAATACCGCTACCCCCTGGACCTCTCCTGGGGCGCGCTCTGAGTAGAACGCGGTCGGGCATGTCCTCCTGCAGGCGGATCTTGGGAGAAAAAGAATACAGTACTAAGATCAAAAACAGTACTAAGATCGTCCCCATAATATTTGACTATGTTTGAATCTTCCTTCTGTGCAGGGACATGCCCGACAATAATTTTGAAGATAATCCAGCCGCGGCGACGAGAGTTCCCCACGACGAGCCGCGGCAGCAGTATACCTCTCCCCCTCCTCCGAGCATAGAAGTCTTTAGCGCCCGCCACGCGCCCCGGTCTCTGGAGCGCGCTGGCCCGCGCGCGCCCGCGCCCTGTTCCTGAGGCCAGCCAGGGCACCGAGCGATCCCCGACCAGCGGCCTCGGATACCAGCCTCGAACTGATCCCTATCCCTAAGATGGGCGAACATAAAGCGAGGGCAGTCTTGGGAATGTGCTCGTAGAAGCTGAGGGAACCCTTGAAACAGGCATCGAGGTGAGGGTGATGCCAAACATAGGGATAGCGGTATGTTTCAAACTGGTAATCGGAGCCGCGAAATCCCGCCCCTGGAAGCCGCCCCAAGCGGGGCCCGAGCAGCTGGAGTCAGAGGATCGCGCCGCATCGCCGATGCACCGGCGACGTCGGCGATGCGTCGGCGAAGCATACGCGCCGTCGGTGTAGAGAAGATCGGGGCTCCACATCTAGCCGCATCGTCGAGGCATCGCCGACGCATCGCCGATGCATCGGCGATGCCGCGCGATCCTCGGACCCGTCTCCTCGGGCCCCGCTTGGGGGGGGTCTCATTCCGCTAACACACATCCTTCGCCTGCTCCTCCTCCTGCTCCTCCTCCTCCTCCTCCTCCGCCGCCTCCTCCTCCTCCTCCTCCTCCGTCACCACTTCCTCCTCCTCCTCCTCCTTCTCCTCCACCTCCTCCTTCTCCCCCTCCTCCTTCTCCTCCTCCTCCTCCTCCTCATCAACCGTCATCATCCTCTTCCTCCTTTTGTAGCAGTCACTCTAATCAGGTGCTCTTCTGGATGTTCCCCTCGCACGTCTTCATCGGCATCCCGTCCGCAACTGGGGGGCACGAGGGCTTCGAGCCCATGTAAGTTCCATACGGGAGGTGGCTTTCCGCTGCAGTTTGTTATTGGAGGCTCTTTATCCCACTCAATGACACGCATAGCGTCGTGGCATTGCTTTCAAATCGTATGTTGAAACTGGTGTAGCGGAAAGCAATTGCTCATTGAATATTGGCAATCGGCGAAGCAAACTGTGGAAGAGACGATCTCGCTTTGAAGCCGTGCGATGCAGGTCTGATTGTGCGCAACACGAGGTTCCCTGATGACTAGTGGTGTTTTCATCGGAAGTTGGGGGATGAGATCGCAATGGAATGGAGTCCCCCACTGGGAAATCGGTTTCGGTTTCGTGTTCGTGTCCTGTCGTGCGTGCGGGCGAGGCGAAGCTGCGTGGGCGCGCGAAAGGAAAGATCCCGCCGTGGTGTCTCGCGGTGTCCCGATGGTGTCCCGCGGTGTCTCGCCGTGAGCGCGCGAGAGGAATGATCCCGCCGTCGCTAGGGCGATTCAGATGCAAAATTCCAACCCTCCAATGGGCGCGCGGTGGCTGGGGGTGTCCCGCCGTGGTGCCCCGCATTGTCCCGATGGTGTCCCGCGGTGTCCCGCCGTGGTGCCCCGATGGTGTCTCGTGGTGTCCCGTGGTGTCCCGCGGTGTTCCAATGGTGCTCAGCGGTGCCCCCTGATGTCGAAAGGTGTCCCTCGGTGTCCCGCCGTGGTGTCCCGATCGATAGTGAGATCGATAACGACCGAGATGTGGTGAGATCGGTAGTGAGGTCGACAATTGGATCGATAGTGAGGTCGATAGTAGAATCGGTAGTTGCATCGATCGTGCGAGCGACAGTGAGATCGATAGTGAGATCGACAGTTGCATCGATATTGCAATCGATAGTGGGGTCGATAGTGCGATCGATTGCGAGATCGACGGTGAGATTGATAGTGGAAACGATTGTGAGCTCGATTGTGAGATCGAATAATCGCTTCAGAGATGTAATGCCAAATCGATAGTGGGATCGGTCGAGTGAGATCTCAAGTGAGATCAATCGTAAGATCGATAGTGTCATGTATTGTGACATCGACTGCGGGATCGATAGCGAGATCCGTCGAGTGAGATCGATGGTGTGATCGTTAATGAGGTCGGTTGTGAGATCAATCAAGTGAGATCGGTTGAGAGATCGACTGTGGGCTCGGTTCAGTGGGACCTTCTAGCTCCAGTCCTAGCGCGACCAATGGTTGTCCGATCGTACTCAGCGCCACTCAGTGTGAGGACGCTAATAGGATCGATCGCTGGATCCATCGATACTACGACTGGCCGTTAGGTCGACAGTGAGATCGATCGAGTGAGATCGATAGCAGGGTTGATAGTGATATCACATCGCAGCACAACATCGTCATCACGAGTCGTCGCCAACTCGAGGGCGCGCCACCAGCATCGCCATCATCACACCCATCGCAGTTGCCAGTAGTTGGTTCTTTCCCCTCCCACCAATATCCTGATCACCCGAAGAGTAGTCGTATAGGTCATTGCAGCGGGCCGTATCGAGATAAATTCATTTCTGTTTAGCCACTCAATATTCTTTGCGTACAATGGAGTAGTGCTTCGCGGCATCGGCGGCTTTGGGCTCCTGTCACGACGTCATCAGGTTCGGCTACTTCCCGAGCCTGATCAGAGGGCGGCTTGTGTCATCACACGCACGCTTGCGATCGCGGTAATTCTTGTAGTCCCCCTCCCCCTCCTCCTCCTCCTCCTCGTCCTCCTCGGCCTCCTCGTCCTGCTAGCCCGCGATTGCCGCGGTGCCGCTGGCCGCGCGGGAGCCCTTGTCAGGCCCGGGCGGCGCCGCGGCCGCAGCACTGCTGGAGGAACTCGGCCCTGGCCGGGGTCCAAAGAGAAGGGGGGGCCGCGGCTCGAGGCCGGGGCACGAGCGCGGACACATGGGGTGACTCTCCTAGTACTGCCCCCTCCCGCCCCCCGATCTTCCCCCTCCGTCCCCCACCCCCTCCCCCACCGCAGCGCAAGCTCACTTTCTCCTCCCCACTGGCCAGCGCGCCCCCTCCGCCCCGACCCTTTGATTCCGGCACGGCACCCGTCCCCCCTCAGCCCTCCTCCGCAGCCGCGAGCGCGCCCTCTCCGCCCCGACCCTCTTTTGTTCGACACGGCACCCGCCCTGCGCACCAACCCGCTCCCCCATTCCCCCGCCAGCCAGAACGCCCCGGCACGGCGCTAGCGCCGCGCCCGCGGACCTCCCCATCGCCGCAGCCAGCCCACCTCCTCTCGGGCCCGGCGAAAGGGGGGGATAGCAAAGGGGGGGGGTGAGACTCAGCTCCACTATAGCTGCTTTTCCTGGCGCCTCCCGGCGCCGGGAGAAACGCCCGTGCATCGAGGAGGAATGGGCCCGGCGGCGGGACCGAAACCAGCTGCACGCAGCAGATTTCGCACCCCCCCCTTGCCCAACCCCCCCCTTTCGTTCGGCCCGATGCTCTCCCCCACCAGCCAGCGCGCCCCCTCCGCCCCGACCCCTTTCTTTCGGCAGAAGGCACCGGCGCCGCGCCCGCTCTCCCCTCTCCGCGGCCAGCCCACCTCCCCCTCCCCCGCTGGCCAGCGCGCGCCCTCCGCCGCAGCGCCTGATGTTTCGGCACGGCATCGGCGCCGCGCCCGCCCCCGCCCCCCCTCCGCAACAATTTTGGCACGGCACTGGCGCCGCGCTCGCCCCCCTCCCCCCCCCTCCGCAGCCAGCCCACTCCTCCCCCGATCAGCAAGCGCGCCCCCTCCGCCCCGACCGTTACTTCGGCGCGGCACGCGCCCCCCCCTCCGCAGCCAGCTTGTCACCTCGTTCTCCTCCACCAGTCAGCGCGTCACATGCGCCCCCACCTCTGTATTCCCGCACGACACCGGCGCCGTGCCCACCCCCCTCCGTCTCCGCAGCCAGCCGTCCTCCCACCCTCCACGGCCAACCTGGCTCCTCCTCGCCAGCACGCCTCCTCCCACTTCGACAACCAGCCCACCTCCTTCCCCTCCGCCAGCCTCCCCAGCGCCCCGACCCTTGTATTTCAGCACGGCGCCGGCGCCGCGCCTACCACCCCCATCTCCGCAGCCAGCCGCCCCCCCACCCGCCACTGCCAGCCCGACTCCTCCTCGCCAGCGCGCCCCCATGCGCCCCCTCACTTATCTTTCGGCAACCAGCCCACCCCTTCCTCCCCCCAAAGCCAGTGCGCCCCGCTCCTCGTCGGCAAGGCTGGACACGCGGCGGGAGGCGTGCCCGGTAGGACCCGGGGAAAGGGGTCTTCTAGGCCTCCTATCGGCGGCGAGCAAGGGGGGGAAGTGAGAAGGAGAAGACCCTGTCAAAGGCGGCGGGCCTTCTTAGCAGCCCTCGCGTCTTCTGCGAGGTTGTCTGTGTCTTCGGGGAAGCTTCTGACAAGCTTGCCAAAAGGCCGGGGGACTTCCGAGCCTTCTGAGAAGGCCCGCCCCCTTCTCACTTCCCCCCCCTCGCTCGCGGCCGATCCTAGATGGGGTCCGAGTAGATGTGGCCAGAGGTATGGGAACAAAAAGTGGCATAAACATAACAACTCGGAGGTCCGCGCGGAATTCTCGGATCGGCGCTGGACCCCCCTCCCTGGCGCGCGGAGCGCGCCAGGGGCGGCGCCGGAGGCGCCGCCGGGACGCTGTTACGCCGGATAATTATGGCGTCGGAAAATTTCACATGCGGACAATTTCACATGCGCAGGCCGCCTTCCGAGAAACAAAAAGACGATCTCGCACCAAACGCGCTCAACTTTCGCCCCCCCCGTTAATGCCACCCCGAAGTGGAGCTGAAGGAATCAAGCTCCATTGGGAGGCTGTCACGCCGGATCATTATGGCGTCGGATTACGCGGGATTACAGGCGGGATCAAGTCGGACTGGCCGGGAGCAAGCGGGATTGAGCCGGAGGAGCCGGGATCCAGCCAGAAGAAGCTGGATTTCGGACCAGGGCACAAGCAGAACGTGACCTCCCCAGAGATCCGACGTCGTGATTTCTTCAATAATTACGCGGTCCCCCGAAGTCTCGGACCCATTCCCCAGGACCGGATTCTCATCCCGAGCCGCTTTTTGACGGTCCCGGGGCCCGGCGAGGGCCCCTCGAGGCCGAAAATCTAGAAAAAAACCTCCCTCTTGATTTTTTCAATACGGCCCCTCGAGGCCGAAAATCGAGAAAAAAACCTCCCTCTTGATTTTTTTTCTATATACGTTGGAGGGCTGGGGAGAACCCAGGCCACCGGGGCGCGGGCGGCCCTGCCCGCCGCCCGCGGGCCCCTCCCTCCCCCACCCCCCGGCCGCCCGTTGCTGCCCGCGCCGGCCTGCGGCCCCGCCCGCGCCCCTCCCAGCCGGCGTGGGCGGCGCCGGGCTCCCGGGTGGGCACGGGCTCGGGCTGGGGCAGCGCGCAGCCGAAGGCCGGGGGGCCCTCGTTGCGGAACTGCTTGGCGTACTTCTGCTGCCGCTTCTTGGAGGCCTCGGCCACGAGCCACTTCGGCGGGCCCTGCACGGCGGTGTACTCCAGGCACTGCACCAGCTCCCTGGCCAGCCTCAGGTCCACCTCCTCCAGGAGCGTCAGCGAGAAGCCGCGCTGGCCCGCGCGGCCGGTGCGGCCGATGCGGTGCACGTAGTCCACGAGGCGCCCGGGCATGTCGTAGTTAATGACGTACCTCACGTTCTGGAAGTCGTGCCCGCGGCCGAGGACCTGGCTCGATCTCGGACGGTCTCGATCTCGGCCGGCCCCCGCCGCCGCCTCCTCCGCTGCTGCCTCCGGGCCACGGCGCCCGGCCCCCCGGCGGCGGGCCGGCGCGCTCGCCGAGGAGCTTCCCTCCTCGTGCCTCCGCGTTTGCTTCCGCCCCCATGGGGCCCTCCAATCTGCTAAGGAGGGTCGGAGCAGGTGGGGTCGGAGGATCGCTCCGCGTCGCCTCCGCATCGGCGACGTCAGCGTGGACGAGATCGGATCCGCATCGAGCCGCATCGCCGATGCATCGGCGATCCTGGTCGTGGCTCCCCAGCTTGGAAAGGTGTAAAGCTAAAGCTGTTCAGGGTATGCTGCCGAAAAGGTGTCAATTCTCGAGCGTTGTCGGTCCTTGTTGGTATGTGTCAGATATTGCGCCCTTGCGCCTGCAGACATGGTCTGCAATGATGATGCAGGTCTCGGGGGGTTGGTGGGGGATGCGGAGCAAGTTCGCAAGAAAACGACATGGTCCGCGGTGGATGATATTCTGCTCTCTCGGTCCCTGCTGGCTGATCTCGGTTCTTGCGCAAGCAGCAGTCCCCAACGAGATAGTGAGGGGATGCACTGCCTTCTCCCCAACCAGCAACGTGGTTGGATGCTCGTTCTGGGGACCTTCCTGGAGCCACTCGCTCCACTCGTGCGTCGAAGCTGCGTCGAACGTCAGTCGATGTGGGTCGACCCTGAGTCGAACCTGAGCCGAACCTGAGTTGAACCTGAGTCGAACTTGAGTCGAAGTTGAGTCGAAGTTGAGTCGAACTGGGGTCGAACAGATCCGTTGTGTGGGCTCCAGGAAGGTCCCCGAAACGAGCATCGAAACATGGAGCTGCTGATTTGAAGACAGTGGCTCCCGATCCGCCGCGCCCACCCTGCATACCGCGGACGCCAGGCCCAGAGTGTGCCAGTAACCCGGGGCACCCTGCCCCACATCTTCGACGAGTACAGTCGGGGTCTTGACCTAATAAACCCAAAATAAGGAACGAGGCCCCTCTTTTCCATAAATAAACTTCGATTTCGTATCGGAAACCTAAGGACAACCTGAGGCAAGCTGCGAAACAATAAAGGAACACGGAGCCCCTCCCCAACGAAACAGGTTCCTCCTTCAGGGCCCCGACTGTAACCCGGGGCATCCTGCCCCACACCTTCGACGCGTGACGGCTTCACAACTGCCGCGGCTGCCAGGCCCAGGGGTGCGTCCGTGCTCCCAGTGGTTGCGGTCTGGGTCGTGGGGTGGGTCGCGGTTGGGTCGAGGAGTGGGTCGCGGGTGGGTCGCAGGCGGTCGCGGGCGAACACGACGACAACAACGAGCGACAACAAAGCGCAAATCAGGACGACGGTCCCGTGCCCACGGGTCGTTGTCCAGGGTTCCCCCCAGATGCCAGACATCCGGACTGCGGCCCGGTCACCCGACCCCGCCGCTCCAGGATGCGACGCGACGCGGCACCCCCAGGAACGCATAAACAACACGAGTGCGATCCCATGAAGAAGCACCACGACCCCCGCATGCAACATGCGTGTCGTCGCAAGCGAAGCGAATCCCTCGAAACAAATCCTGAATAAAAAATCCTGCGCAACGGATTCACACTACGGAGTCCTTCCTAGGAAACCGGGGCTAGAACAGATTTACCACGGAATCCTTAGTGGGACATCCTTAATCAAGACCATCTAGTACGGAGACCTTATTGGCGAACCCTTCCTACAGAGTCCTACTCACGAGTGCTTACTACGGCGACCTTATGCCAAAGGAAGCCTACTCACGAATGTTTACTATGGGACCCTTGCTTATGAACCATGATTACAACATCCAAACGACATGGTTTTTCACACAGGATTCCGGACTAAAACGCGATGGATTATTTGATGGGGAACCCTAGTCATAATCCCACCAGCCCTTTGGGCGTGAGTGGTTTAGCGAGCTCTCTCTGTTCTCAACCCCCCTTCTTCCCCTTCGGGGAGGGGTTTACCCCTCCCCCTACCCCTCCCCCTGGACCTGGAGAGGTCCTTTCGCGGGTGGTTGGAGGGGTCTTTTTCGACTCCTGGGAGGGCTAAAAAACGACACCCCTCACGAGGATTCTGGCCCCGACGGGGGGACTGACAAAAATGCTCGCCCCAGCTGTGATCGATCGCCCGAAAGATGGCCCCAAGATACCTCCCAGACCCCTCCCAAAGAGCCCCAAGAGGCCCCAAGAGGCCTCCAAGAGGCCCCCAAGATGCCCCCAAGAGGCCCCCAAGAGGCCCCAAGAGGCTCCCCCGAGGCACCCAAGACGCTCCTGGAAGCCCCTGGGGCCGCCAAGAGGCCCCCAAGACGCCCCAAACGGCCTCCAAGAGGCTCCCAAGAGGCCCGAAGAGGCTCCCCCAAGGCACCCAAGACGCTCCTAGAAGCCCCTGGGGCCGCCAAGAGGCCCCCAAGACGCCCCAAAAGGCCTCCAAGAGGCTCCCAAAAGACAGACTATCTACTACTACTACTACTACTACTACTACTATACTACTACTACTACTACTACTACTGCTACTGCTACTGCTACTGCTAATACTACTACTACTACTACTACTACTACTACTACTACTACTACTACTACTACTACTACTACTACTACTACTACTACTACTACTACTACTACTACTACTACTACTACTACTACTACTACTACTACTACTACTACTACTACTACTACTACTACTACTACTACTACTACTACTACTACTACTACTACTACTACTACTACTACTACTACTACTACTACTGACTACTACTACTACGACTACGACTACGACTACGACTACTACTACTACTACTACCTACTACTACTACTACTACTACTACTACTACTACTACTACTACTACTACTACTACTACTACTACTACTACTACTACTACTACTACTACTCCGACTCCTATCCTTATTCTTTATTAGAATATACTCCTACTCCCCCCTCAGGCCGGCCATTAAGGGCCGCATCCGGGGGGTCCCATCCTAACCTGTAAAAAACAATACAAAATCAATATTTTTCTTATTTTTTCCTCTCGACATGGACGTCTTGTCGTCCACGGCGATAATCCATTGCAAAAAATACCACAAAGAGCACACGCGCGCGTTCATGTCATAATCCTACCGAACACCTGGTGTTTGCAAACATTTCAACATAAAAACATCAAAAACCCAATGTTTTTTCACAAAAATTGTACAAATTTCCCGCCCGGGCTCTCTTGCTGAAATCATAGGAAAACCATAGGAATCTGAAGAATTCTGTCAAATCCAGCGATTTCACGTCATCGCGCGGTGCACTCGCGATGCTCTGTCATGCACCCAGGCCGCGAATCCTGTGCCAAAAACACCACAAAGAGCACACTCGCGCGTTCATGTCAGAATCCTACCGAACACCGTGTGTTTGCAAGCATTTCAACATAAAAACATCAAAAACCCAATGCTTTTTCACAAAAATGTTTTGGGGTGTCCTGTCAGACCGTCGGGCTTCCTCCGGCCACCTCTGGCTTCCTGCGGTGTACCGGGCCATTCTCGACTCGTCTGGCAATGCGTGCGCGGCATTCAACACGCGCTCGCCAGTTCCCGTCGGCAACCGCCATCGCGGCCGCATCAGCTGTACCAAACCGGCTGGCCGGTGTGACTTCGGCCCCCAGTTGTGCCAGCTTTGCTTCTTATGTTGTGGGAGGGCGGGCGGGACTGGGCATGCCATGCTTGACTCGCTCGAGCTGGCTAGCTTGACTCCTACTCCTACTCCTACTCCTACTCCTACTCCTATCCTTATTCCTTATTAGAATATACTCCTACTCCCCCCTCAGGCCGGCAGATAGGGGCCCCATCCGGGTGGTCCCATCCTAACCTGTAAATTAGCCTGGCGAAGGACCCAACCATATGCAGTTGAGAGTACCGCAATTGTGAATATCTTCTTCGGTGGCGTTCCCTATGGGGCCACGAGCCGTATGAGGGGTGTGCCGAAATGCGTGGCAGTGTACACAACACGAACGAAGACGATAGGTCCGAATATGAAAGCTTGAGCGCGTGCGAGTCGGATCGCGAGCGAGTCTGATTATGAATGAATCTGCGCGCGATTGATTCTATTCGCATGAATGCGTGCATGGATACGCCCAGTGTAAATGTATGTATACGACTGTGAACAGTTTGGGTCTGCGTGACTCTCGGTACTCGTGACTCTGAGCGTCGCCTCTGCAGGGGGCTTCCCTGGGAACCCCGACGGCAGCGCCCGCGCGCCGCGACGCCCATGTCGGCACGCCACACACCTGGTGTGCGGGACGCATGCGGACGGCAGCACTGGGGCCTTCGGTGGAGCTCCCTGTGGGGCCACGAAACGTGTGAGGGTGTGCCGAAATGGGTGTGCGGGACGCATGCGGACGGCAGCATGGGGCCTTCGGTGGAGCTCCCTATGGGGCCACGAAACGTGTGAGGGGTGTGCCGAAATGGGTGTGCGGGACGCATGCGGACGGCAGCACTGGGGCCTTCGGTGGAGCTCCCTGTGGGGCCACGAAACGTGTGAGGGGTGTGCCGAAATGGGTGTGCGGGACGCATGCGGACGGCAGCACTGGGGCCTTCGGTGGAGCTCCCTATGGGGCCACGAAACGTGTGAGGGGTGTGCCGAAATGGGTGTGCGGGACGCATGCGGACGGCAGCACTGGGGCCTTCGGTGGAGCTCCCTGTGGGGCCACGAAACGTGTGAGGGGTGTGCCGAAATGGGTGTGCGGGACGCATGCGGACGGCAGCCATGGGGCCTTCGGTGGAGCTCCCTATGGGGCCACGAAACGTGTGAGGGGTGTGCCGAAATGGGTGTGCGGGACGCATGCGGACGGCAGCATGGGGCCTTCGGTGGAGCTCCCTGTGGGGCCACGAAACGTGTGAGGGGTGTGCCGAAATGTGTGTGCGGGACGCATGCGGACGGCAGCCATGGGGCCTTCGGTGGAGCTCCCTGTGGGGCCACGAAACGTGTGAGGGGTG